TATTGGTTGCAACATTAGCTGTGGCTAGCTGCTAGCTTGCCAAATAAGTAAAGGTTTAGTGTATAAAATTAAATAAAAAATCTTTTATTATAGTATATTTCGTACTGGTTTGATGTGTATTTTAATCTTAGTGTTTTAACTTTAAATATACATATTCATTCCTGTATTTCACTTTATTTGTAGTCTAATAAGTCAGTAGCATCAGTAGCTCTGTTAGCAGCTAACTACGTAATCAGCAGTAACAGCAGATGCCAGAAACTAAATTGAAAATATAAATTGTTATTCTGTGTTTTTCCATGTTTTACCATCTGTTTTGTCTCAGTTCTGTGTTTTATGGAAAACATTTTAATCGTGGGTTTAGCATATATTCTTGCTAGCGCTGTTAGCAGCAGCTAGCTGGCTGTAACAACAGAGGTCTGGAAGAAAGCAGCAGTTTACTGTTAACGTTAGAAACACAACCTGGTTTTATTATAATGTTCTTTATTCTTTGTATTGAATTTACATTTTTAACTTTGATTTAGAAACTATTTTAGAAATGTTGGGCTGTAAGCAGAAACTTTTATTTTAGAATAATTTTGTGAATCAGCTGCTGGTTTAGTTTGGATCTTAAAATGATCCTGGTTTAATTTTGGTGACGGTAAAGACAGTTAATAACTTATTGAGCTTTAAGTCATCAAGTTAATAAAATCACTGCAGACTTTAGATAAAAATGATATAAATATACATTTTGTTGAGTTTCTGCTTTTTCTGTTGGATTTTCAGTTTTTAAATTAATACAATTTAACTCCTAAATACATTTATTGATTTAATTAGAAATATCTGCAAGGATTTAGCTTGTGCTTAATTCTAATAGAAATATTTAACAGATTTACCCTTTAAGGAAAATCACATCATAAATATGTAAACTATTTGGTTACATCATCTTTATTGCCTCAGTGGTTGTAGTTACGTCTGGATTAGAATAAAATGGTGGAAATGTTCTTCTGTGCAATAAATTAGGACACCAGATTATGTTCATAAATTATGTTTTTAAGTGCAGAAGCTGCATTAATAATTCAGCGTCTCTGTTTGATCAGCGCTCCGACACTCCTGGTGGTTTCTGCTCCCAGCTGCTTCGCTTTTCTTATATAATCTGTTTTGTTTGACAAAGTTTAGAAAAAGTTATAATAAATGAATGAACTCCACTTTTTGTTAATGAGCGCTTTACATAATTAGGAACGCACAAATTGAACGCTGTAACATTTATTCCCGTTAAATCATTCACTTTAGGACGGAGTCTCTGTTGGGACAAACAACTTAAACTTTGAAATTAAATTTCTTTCTGTTCATTTTTATGCCATAATCACAGAAAAAACCTTTCAAATAGTTTTAATGATTGATCTGAACATCAGGCTGTAGATGGAAACAAACATGTTTTAATATTTTAGTTTTACTGTGCCCGCCTTCAGGTTCAGGTTTCATTTTTAGAAACACTCACTGAAACTTCCAGGCTTCTGTAGTTTTCATTCCTGAAACTCAGTGGGAACTGTAAAAGTTACTCCTATAAAAACTTACATTCCAGGACTTATAAGGCACTTTTTATTCTCATTAAATGTTAAAATTAATAGAGGTTGAAAATCTCATTAATAAGAGCGACAGCAGCAGATTATTTAGTTAAAGTAACTTTCTGAAACTTATTGGGTGAAGAATGAATCCTGCAGTGAACCTGAAGTTTTATTTCTACAAGGAAAGGAAAGTTTATGTTTATAAACATGTTTACATGATTAGAAGGAAAATAAAACAGGAAATAATCAAAAACACAGTTTACAAAAGCAAAGTCAGGGAAAACGGTGACTGATTTTAAAGTTATTAGTCAAAGGCAGCTCTAAACAAATTGTTCTAAAGGAACTCGGCGTTTCGGCTGTTTTGCAGTTTTCTAGATGTTTGGTTTTGGTTCTGCAGATCAGAGGTCTGGAAGGTTGATCCAACAGCAGCAGATCTTTAAAGGTTCCTGAAATGTTCTTTAGGTGACAGAAGGCTGATTTTATAACCGTCTTTATGTGACTCTGAATGTCCAAACCCAGATTCCAGCTGTAATAACTGACTGTAGATCGTTTGTCTTTAATAGCTTCAGTTTTGTCTTGGACGAGTTTCGTGTTATCTGGTGCCGTTGTGAAGTAGAGCGCTGCATCATCTGCGTATCTAATCATAGTTATAATCTCAGTCAACGGGAGCGTCTTAATATCTACGACTTGTGCATGATTTTCCCTGAACTTCTGGAAGTTTCTTTGCTAAAACTTCTCTGAAACTTTCCAAGCTTTAAAGTACAGCCTGTGTTTTGTGTTGCTGCCAAAAAGAAAAGTAGAAATGAGAGTTAAAGCACTAATAGTTGTTTCCGAGTCAAGTTTGTGCAACAGAAAAATGGAAAGGGAAGAAAAACGTTAAGACACAATAACTATCAGCGATTTCCAGTGAAGATGGAGCTGGCAGGGAGGAGAGGAGGTTCCTGCATGTGATGAGGGAGGCAGAGGGCTGGTGGATGTCAGGAACGCCTGCAGGGAGAATCTAAAGGAAGATTAGATGAAAAAAACAGACATTTAATAAATAATTTAATAGAATAATAAGCAGCAAAACGTTGTACCCCTTAGTCATCTTTTCTAATCATGCTTCCTGGTAGTCGTGACATTTTCTGCGAGTCCTGCTTTGGTTGTAAAGTAGCTGCTTGCAGATAGCAGACACATTTTGTTTGCCAGGAACTCATTTTGATGGAGCAGCCTGGATAAATGGGAAGCCTGTCAGATTTCATTTTCCATTAAACGCAGTCGCTTCGTCTGCTGGTTTTTTTCATCAGATCTGATTCAATCACTTCATCCTGCTTTAAAAAACACGGAGAAGAAAATAAACAGCTTTCATTAAAGTCCCGGCGCTCGGATTAATCTACCTGGAGACGCGTGTTGACATGAAATGAGCCGAGCGAGGCCAGCTGTCGGCGCGGCTGGACTCCGCCCACACTGCTCCCACTTTCTGCTGTCCGGTTTCATCTGGGAGTCCGACCCGTTCCGACCCGGCCCGACCCGGCCTGTGTTCTGGCCTCCACACCTGCTGCTCCTCGCTCCAGCTCTGCCTTTGTTATCCGCCTGGTTCTGACCCGGGGAACCGGCGCTGCTGCCGGCCCTTTCATGGCTCTGCAGGTTAAAGCTGCAGCTTTCTGTGGCTCAGTGCAGCTGCAGCTCCTACTTCATGCATTAGAGTCGACCTTTTGTGCCAAATTCACATTTTTGTAATTCTCTACTGCTCTAAAAGTTGCCGACGCTGCAAAGAACACAAAACCTTACCAAGTATATTTTCTCGTTTCTGGTTCCCTTGAAATGAGACAAAACTAACTTACAAGTAACTTTACAGTAGCAGCTTATTTTCAGCCAAAAACTCCTGAATATTGATGAAAAAGTAAAAAGTAAGCGTTTCATTGGCAGATTATTTCATTTATAACAAGGGAGAAATGTTTTATGAGTGAATTCATCTGCCAGTGGAACTGATTCATCAATATTAACAAATTATTCACTTAAAATAAGCTCACATTTATTGCTGAAAATGTACTTGTAAACTATTTTTACCTTATTTCAACTGTACTAAATTATTTGCTCTAGAAATTAAAGATTTTGTGTTTTTGCAGTGCAAGTACTTAAAAAACATCCAGTTTGTTTCATGGCAATAAATTAGTTTTGTTTTTTTTGGTGTCTGGAAAATGAGCTGCTCCAAAAATATATTAAAACATGTCACAATTCAGCAGACACCAGCCCTCAAACTGTTACCTAGCAACCACAGCAGAGTTCCTCCCGTTACCTAGCAACCACAGCAGAGCTCCAGGACATTTGGTCAGCTGGTTTTACTGTTGTATGCTCTGTACAATGGCTGCTGGAAAAGACAAGTGTTTGGTTGTTGACTTTCCATCCAGAAACCTCTTGCTGATGATTGTACTGGAGGCTCCACTTCTGCTTTTCAATATATCATTATATAACTGCACTGTTTGCAGACATTTTCTCGTCAGAGTGTCATCGCTGAGTTTGGGGGCGTGGCCAACAGCAGATTATTTGGACTTAAAGGGACAGAACCCTAATCTTATTATCTAAAAATGACTTTTGTGATAAAAATGTAACAAACGTGTTTTGTGTGGACCAGTCCTAACATGTTCAAGCATAATGACCCACCTTTAAATGAAAACCTTAAACTCACCAAGTTCCCGGTCCTGTGACCACAGTAGTGGACGTCTGTGCTCCAGTTTGTTCCATAAATCATGATGATGCAGATTTAGCTTATTTTCAGGGTTCAGGTGTTGGATAAAACCTCCGTTAGCCTGTCAGGCGTTTGGCGCTTCGTCATGAAATAATTCAGAAATGAAAAGGTTGCTGAGTAATGTCCCAACCTGTTGGACGCGTTCTCCAGCAGCCGCTGCTACAAACAGCAGAATATTATCAGAAGTGGCAGAAATACTCAGAAACAGCCGGCAGCAGCTCGGGTTCCTGGCCCGGTTTGGGATCAAAACTTCAGGGAAGGCAGAGAGAAAATCTGGAGAAAATCTACCAAGCAAGTCAGAGACCAGAGGACAGAAAGTACCAAGACAACTTTGTGTCAGCGTTGAAAAATCTACTTTCCACTGACCGTCTGGACCTTAGAGGGAACCGTCCAATATTTAAAGGTCAGCTTCAGAACCTTAGTAGGTTCTTCCCACCGCAGGCAGAACTGGACCTTAGAGGGAACTCTACAAAACGTTCATGGTACCTTTTAGAGTTTTTCTGAAACTTCAGGTTGCTTTCTGAAGCGACTCTCTGTGGAACCTGCTGGTCCTTTCCAGAACTTTACAGGATTCCTTACAGGAGCTAAAGGTTCTGCCGTCCGGGTCCGTTAACCTGTGGAAAACGTTGGGGAACTTAAAGAGATCCAGAATGGTTCAGAACTTTCAGGGAACCAAACAGGAACCAGCAGGATACTTTCTAGAACTTTCCGGTTCTGTCTGTCTCCAGGTCCGTTGAGGGTGGTCGTCCCGACCGAGTCGGTCTCGTCCTTCCTGGGCGATACCGCCCTGCTGCGCTGCGAGGTCTCCGGCGACCCGAGGCCCGTCATCCGCTGGCAGAAGAACCGGGAGGACCTGCCGCTCAGCTTCCAGCCCGAGTCCCGGCTGGCGGTTCTGCCGTCCGGGTCGCTGCAGGTGAGCCGGGTCCAGCCGCCGGACTCGGCGACGTACCGCTGCCTGGCCGACAACCCGGGCAGCACCAGGACCGGGACGGACGCCGAACTCCGAGTTCTGCCAGGTAGAAAACACCGACCCAGGTTTCCTCCAAGGGGTTCTTTTCATTTGGACCTCTGCGGCTCTGTAGTGTTGGGCGGGTTCTACTCGGCGCCGCGACCGGCCCGTTTAGAGACGTAACGAATGTTCAGGATGGGAGGCGGAGTTCTGTATCACACAGAGATCCGATCGGACTGAAGATCAATATCTACAGATTGATCCAGAACCTGGTTTTATCTATAAACATACGGACAGCGGCTCGGTTCTGTAGGTTCTGTTGGTTCTGTTGTTTTGCTCTGAATGTTATTTTTCCATATTTTCTTTA